GCACAAAGATTATGAACTTTGCGAATTTCGGAAGGAGATGGTGACACGGCAAATAGAAAATTTCTTCTTTGTGTTAATAATAAATGAATTTTAAATGGTAACAAATTAATTTGTTGCAACTTCATGTATGGCTTCAGCTAAATATTTAACATTTTTCAAAGAAATTCCAGCAATGGAAATACATCCATCTTTGGTTTAAATATATATGAAAATCAGCAGTAAGTCTTTCAACCTAAAAATAATGAATTTATCATTTAATAATTTAATTTTTTTTTTAATGAAAATATTTTATTTTTATTTATAACAAACCTGCTCAGGTTTTAATCCAGTGTAACAAAACATTCCAATTTGATCAGTGAAAATCATCAACATCACACATAGTAATAATTCGATTTGCCATAACTTTTCTTCTTCTAACCTTAAAAATATGTATATAAGTAGATATATAATATCATTAATTAATCATTGATTGTTTATTGTCCTTCAACTTACCATTCTTTATTTAGTTCAGGACCATTCAGTACATAACTTGCAATTCTTGCACCATTTATTGGTGGATTAGAATACATGACCCTAATTAGTATTTTAAGTTGTGAATCAATTGCTGCCTTTTCTTTTGAACTTTCAGAAATAATTGAAAATGCACCAGCACATTCTCCATAAAGTCCCATATTTTTGGCAAATGATTGTGCTAAAGCTATCTGATGATCATCAATTATAAATTTACAAATAGCATAAGCATCTTTATCAGTGCCTCCTGATGTAAAACCTTGATAGGCCATATAAAAAAATGGAAAATGTTCGTGTTGTTATACATACATACATACATACATACAATTTAAACAAATAATTTTCTATATATGGGACATGCTGCAACAAAACCAGACAAAGTGAACATTGGTGTTACCAAAGATTTCAGGGATCAAAATCTAGTCATTTGTAGTGTGATTACAATTAACAGTTTTATAATATTCCATTTATTATTTAAGTGATATATAGAATTACCTCTATATAAAAATAGTTAATATG